AGGGATCGTAAATAAAAGTAAGCAAACAAGGCTGGAGATACTGTAGACATTATTTATTCAAACTACAAGTCCCTATTTTGACTCCACCAAATGTAATTCTAGGGAACAACGTGGAGCCTAAATAGGGGTTTGTAGTTTGAGTAAATAATCACTACAGTATCTCCAGCCTTGTTTGCTTACTTTTATTTACGATCCCTGCTTGCAGGTTTTAAATAAATTCCCAATTTTTTATTTATCTTGTTAAATCATGTGGCTACTACAGTTGTAAAGACAAACAACTGGGTCATAGTAAAACGTGAATTTGTTCGACTAACAACTGGCAAATCATACCATATATGGTTAGTGGAGTTGCGAAGACTTAGAACTTGGCCATGGCAATAAATGCGGTTACCATAAGTCGCTAGATTAACTTAGGGGCGTTATAATGTGACGGTCAATCCCACTATTCGTTGGTAAAAGAGTAGCCCAAGAGTTGGCGGTGGGTGGTGATGACTAGCTGCCTTCCCTCTAGTCTTACACTGCTAAATTAGGGACGGATAGCCCTCGTGTAGCTTTGCGCGAAATTCAAAAACAAAACAAACTTGATGAAAGCTAACGACTTCATTCAGACTTGGTTTTTGCATTTAGCTATTATTATTAAAGTGTTACAAATAATACATTCAAAAAGGTTTTATTATACCATTCTAAAACAAATTATGATCTAAACAAAAATAATATTTTTCAAGTCAAAATATATCTGAGAGCCAAACTGACTTTTATAAAAATAAAATGTTAAAAATGAAGAGGCTTTAAATTAGGGACGGATAGCGCAGATAGCCCTCGTGTAGCTTTGCGCGAAATTCAACACAAACAAACAAGCTTTAAATTATTTATTTAATTGGGAATTTGTGTGTGTGTAAAATATCGTGTTTTCACATGTTTACATCATATGTACTGCAATATTTATTCAGCCATTATCCAACGCCATTGTTTTCTTTTAAAGTGATAAATGGTTGTTTGTTTTCCAGTAAACCACATTGGGCTATCTGCTGTGTCCACCGCAAGGAATCTAACCCCGGATTGTAGCATTGTAAGTTCGTAAACGTACCGATTTCCCATTGGGGACAACTGATCAATTTACTAACAATGGTAATCCAATGATATCGTTGACGAATTAAAGAATATTTTAAATATATCCTTAAGAATTACTGTGGTATTTCCAGACGCACCGCATTTTGCGTGTTTTTTTCCTGATAGCAGTAAGCTTGAGGGCTTATAACACCAAAATTCGGAGTTAAATACAAGTAACGAGTACAGTGCGGATAGTCCCTTGTGTAACTTTGTGCTTGAAAATAAACATATTGTTTTACCATTCAAGTAAGAATAGTAAACTGCAGTTGCTAGAGGAACGTCAGGAAGTCTTACATACGAATAAATCTGAATTTTTCTGACTTAGATTAAGAAGGAAACCAAACACAATATAAGAATAAAGTAAGCAATAATATTTATTACACAGCAAACATAAATCAAAGTTAACGAAAGCACA